GTCTAGGAATTCTATCGGCGACGGGGAGAGGCTAGAGATTGATCAGATCTCCGTAGCCTGCTTCAAATGCACTGGGTCCGTGAGGATCCGCAGCGCTTAGAGATCTTCACACAGCGTGAAGTCTCCTCCTCCCTTGTTCGTGGAGTCCTCCAACTTGGGCGGAAACCACTCAAGCCTCTTATACGGCTAGGACGCCAGTCACTAGCCGCCACGTGTGAATAATTTAGAACTGGCCAATAATGGGACCCAAATCTACATACAAATGGCGGGAACTCTTTGCAACGAGCATTTCTGTGCTGCAACAAAGAAATGCACCCTGCAAAGAAAGCTTCAAATTGGTGGGAAATTCTCCCTTGCACCAGGGTTCTCTTTTGCAGCAGAAAACTCCACCGTGCAAGGAAGCTTGCAATTTAGCGGGGACAATTTAGCAGTGCCGAAGCACACACAAATAAAAATCACACCCTTTGGGTTGTGACATACAGAATGAAACAGACACTTCCCAGCTGCTCTCCTATATGTTAACCATCTGTGTACCTGTTGTGTAGCTTTTATCTCTGCATTATCTAAATGCTTGAGGTCTCCTGATGTGTGTTTGCATTCCTTATTTCTGTTAAGGTAATGGCCTGAGGTACAGTGTTTGTTGGGGAACTGACATGAAGTTCCATGCAGAGAGCCCTGAAGGCTTTTATTAATAATAGCTCCGTTTATCACAACAGAGAACAGAGATGTGGAAAGCTTTGTATAATTTGATTATTAAGCATAGAGCAGTAGTCAGTGTTCTTTTTCCCTCCTTTGTCCTTACATTTGTAATGTAGATCTTCATTGCCTATCTAATTGAGAGGCATAATCTCTTCTGGATGTTCTTGCGTAGATTCTTGTTAATGCCTTATATTCATATTTACCAAAAAAAAGAGAGAAAATGTATCTTGCAGGGCTGAGGAACAAGAACCAAGTTGCATGGACTTGTAGCTTTTATACTTCTATAAGTGAAGTGCATCTGAAGTCCTCTATTAGGATCAGAGTTTGGTATTAACTTCTCTGGTTTTTATCTTGAATAGAGGCATTTCAGTGAGACAGTCAAGCTCTCTTCTGAAAGTAGGGCATCAGCCTACTCGAATTCCTTCATAAGTCCTTGTCTGCTCATGCTGCAACTGCATCTATACAGTCAACCCGAGCGCTTGCAGCAAAAAGCTCTTTGAGGTTCTCAGTGTGTCAGCACATTCTCCATGGACTCCGCCAGTTCTCACATTCCTGGGAACAGGATTTGGAGGCCTAAACAATGCACCATCTAAATCTTTGCCTTGCTTATGCTCTTTGCTTGTTTCACATAGCAACCATTCAGATTTGTAGATCTGGTTTCTAATCAGTCAGAGATACTACAGGACAGCATTCTTTTTGAGATCCCTTTGGATGTTGTTTGCATGAAGAAACTGCTACTACATTCAGTCCAGTTGGCACTGGATTTATCTTGGAAGAGATAGCTGATGGTCTGACTCACAATTACCCTGCAGCTAGTATAGTCACTTATGCTAGTAGAAAGTGTGCAGGATAACAGAGAATCAATCTGGATGTTCAAGTATCAGGCCTGAGTTGAATTGATAGGATGAGCGAGTAAATTGTCATACTACCTGCTTGACCTTTCATCATCATATGTTCATCATCATCATCATATGTTCCTTATAGCCAAGGATGACAATGCCTAAGTGAAGGTGGCCAAGTCAAAGGTTGGGGGACGCAGGCCTATGTGTGATAAGCCCCTTTGTCACAAAATTTGCTGCACTGTTCAGTATCTGAGCCAGTGTGCTACTGCTATCCCATCTTTCACCCTGAATGCTCCCCCTGCCCAAGGGCATGCTGTTGCAGCTCAAGAAGGCCCATACCTTCTCTCATTTTGGGTCTCACATATTTGCAAGCAAGCTCTCCAGAGAGTTAGTTGACAGATTTTTTTTCGGTGCTCAAGTGTCCTTGAAGCACTTTCTTAGGCAACCATGGTTCCTTTTCATGTGCTGCAGATCACCACAGAGAAGCTGCTTGCCCAGATGCTTGAGCATTTGAAGATTATCTTCTGAGCCATGTGTTTGGGCCATTATAGCTGGGCCTTCACTGTTGATGACTTGAGAGAGAGATTCGGCTCACAACAGGACTTTGTCATTGTTTAGTTTGTCAGACCACTTAATTTGAACTACACAAACCTCTGTTAACCAGTAGTATGTGAAAAACCCTTACGTATATTAGTTTCTTGCTAAAAAATATACACACATCTAGATGTATATAAACAAGTGTATTTAAATATGCACACAGTATGAGCAAATGTGTAGAATATGATTTGAAGACGTAAATGGAATAATAATTTTGTAGTCTTTAAATCTTCTTGTGATATTACATCAGAGAGGAGTTTGTTCTAGATTTTCTTCTTGCACACCTGCCTATAGTTATAACCACTTTAGAAATCAGTATGTGAGAAAAGGTCATTAAATGAGTTCAACTTGGCAATATAAGCTTAATGCTTAATAAATGGTTTTTGTTGTTCATTTTAAACATTGAAACCTGTAGCTTGTTCCAGCACCGACTTGTTAAAGTTGACGTCTTGCTTATCTGGAGCATAAATGCCAGCAATAAAATAGCAGTGCTTCATTATGCATTTGAGAAGTATTCTGCATAACGCATCCCATGCCTTTTATTGTTTTTGATAGGAAACTACTGAAGCAGACTGTCTCAAGTATCCATCTACCAGTTTGCCAGACCTGCTTAGCAGCTGTGCAGTCCAGGATACTGCGTTTTTCACTGATAACAAAGAGAATGAAAAGCCAGAGGAGGAAGATGTCAAAGGAGGGAGTACATCTCCCGAAGTGCAGGGTGCTGTAAGTGTGACTTTGAAAACTCTTTTCTCAGTTATCCAATTTGGTTGTCACACCAAAAAATGTGACGGGCTGTCTGTGGTATTAAACGAGCTCTTCCTTTGTGTTAGAAGTGGTCAGCAGAAACCTGAACCACGATGTGAAATGCTTGAGATCAAGCTATCTTGTATTCATATGCTGTAGTAAAGCTTAGTCAAAGTGGATAAAGTAGCATTGCAAGTTCCTATATTCTCTGAGTTATTTGTGGCTGCGACCTTTTTTACCCCCTTAGTACATTGCTTCACATGCACTTTTAATGCTTTTAGTGAAGTTACTGAAGCGTGTGGGTTGTAGTATATTTCTTTTTTTTTTTCTGTAGCAAAATTCCTCTTATGGCATCTGTACTGTATTTTGAAAACTTTACCCAGTTTTACTGGTCCATTTGATGTGAACAGGATTTTATCTGAGTGTGATCCTCAGAATTTGGACTATAGCTTAAGGGATAACCTCCCTTGGATTCCATTCAAAGCTGCATTTAATAAAGACTAAATGGAAGATAGCAATGATTTATTTACATTGTGCAGTAACTAGAAGCCCCAATGCTGGACCAGGATCGCCTTGTTCTACGTACCATACAAACACAGAACAAAAACAAAGTGCTTCCAGTTTCGATATAAGATAAGAGAAAGCAGGTGGGCCTGACTGAAATCTTGTTTGTTTATAATAAACCTGAGAGAACCCTTTAGAAAAAATCAGACAACCCTGTAATGCAGCATAGCTAATATAGTAGAACCTGGACCTGGGGGGTTCCAGCTGCTCAGTTTGCAGTGGGTTGCTGAATTAAGGACAAGCCATTCAGTTATCTTCTTCAGCCTTAGGGCCATGTCTAACAAAACACTTAGTATGTATTAAATACACTTAACTTGAGCATCCACATGTTCAAGCAGGAGGACTTGATGATCTGTAAGGTCCCTTCCAACCCCTAACATCTATGAAATGATGAAACACGTTAAGTGCACTTGTATCATAGCAAAGTTGCATCTTTCCCAGCAAGGAAGCTCTCCAGATCATGTTAATGAACACATGCTCAACTAATTTCAGACTGCTCTGTGGAGATAACGTGGTCAGTTATGGTCCTGGGGCTAGAACCCACAATCCACTGTTGTTGTGGGATTGTGGGCCCCAGGACTGAACGGGAGTCTCAAACTGGTTCTGATCCCTGGGCACCTGCAGAATCCAGCAGCAGGGGCAGCCCCCTCTCCTAGGCACTCTCTGCCTGCTACCAGCAGCAAAAACCTGGCTTAGAAGACGCTAGTGAGCATTACCATGTGCTCAGAACACATCTTGACTTTTGCTAATGCTTACTACAATCTAAATAAAACACCTGCTAAGCATCCTGTCCAACAAGCCATGACCTCAAAGGGCACCGCTTCTCCACTCAGCTACAGATTATCGTTGGTCCTGCACCAGAAAAGTGGCACCTTTTGAAATAAAAGCCAAAGAAAACAGCTGGAGCACCTCAGCAGCCCCACACAACTATGTGTGGTTGCTGCATAAGCTCCCAATTGCTTGGCAAACCCTCGTTTTTGATGGGACAATAAGGAACCCAATCTTGCAAAGTATCAAGGTTCTGCTATACCAGGGGTGTCAAACTTGCCCAGCCCCCTGGGCTGGAACCCAGCTGTGGTACTCCTCACGGGCCAGATGTGGGTGCAGTGGTGGGGCGAGCAGCAGCTGCAGGGGTTAACAAAGCTTCCGCTTTTTCCCTACCGCCATCATGTGTTCCCTTTGAGGCTCTGTGCCCTGGATTTGGACAGCAGGCCCTTCCCCTCTACCAGTCCCACAGATCATGCAACATGGCTCCACAGGCTGGATCCAGCCTGTGAACCTGAAGTGTGACCATTATTCACTTCGTAGTGGTGTTTTCTCAGAGAGTGTCTGTCCAGTTGACCTTTATCTCTAAACTTCCCTGCCCTAGGTTAATCCTACACATGGCAGCTTAGCATTGTTGATATATGAGTTCATTACTATGCAGGCTGCTTCTCTGTGGGCACAGACAGAAATGACATTTGTTGTGCTGTCAGCCCCTTGCAATCTCTCTAAAGCCACATCCAAACAGAAGAGTATGGCTTCAGACTCCTTCCAAATTTGTATGAGGGTTCAAATTAAGCTGCTTCTAAGTGGGGCAACGTAATTTCTGGCTGCAGCACAGCGAGCTGCAGCTACTGTCTCTGGATGGGAGGGGGAGAAGGCAGGGAAGGGAGGTCCTTTCCTGGGAGTCCCATGCTGCCATGGTGAGGCACCCCCCTGCCTGCCTGGTAGCAGCGAGGGGCACAACTCCATGCCACTGCCCCCATTGCTGCCAGGCAGGCAGGGGGCATCTTGCTGTGGCATTGTGGGGCTCCCAGAGGTGGCAACAAGCTTCCTCGCCTGGCCCCGCTCTGCCCTGCTATGTGGGTCCTGCCCACTGGGCTGCGGAGGCCCTGGGGGAAGGACGGGGCAGCAGTGTGGGAAGCCCAAGCCTGCAGGGGGCAGCTTGCCCCTGCCCTGGGCACACATCTGGGCAGCACATGCTCCCCTGCCCTGCCCCACCCCAGGAGTGCATGCAGTGGTAGAGCCAGCTCCCCTCCCTGCCCCCCAGACTAACCACCCATAACCCCATCCCACTCCTCATCTGGGCCCTGTGGCCATGCATGGTCTCTGGCCCAAAGTTCAATGCACCACCTAGCTGCGGAACAGCCCTAGCCCTAGCCCCAATCTCAGACCTGTCCAACTCATTCCCTCCTTCCCTCCCTTTGTGGGCCTCAGTGCTCCCCCCGCCCCCCCTGGTGAGACTTATCTGTGTGAGCTGCTCTGCAGGCTGCCTGGCTGCCATGTGCATGTGCATATGTGCACGTGCACATGGTTCTCTGCCTGACCATCCTCTTCCTGCTCCCCCCAGCTCCTGGCAGGCTGGAATTCTGCCAGCCTGCAGACAGACAGCTCTTTGCAAGAGTGGAAAATCCATGTGTTTCTGTTTAATTGAGAAAAACACAGATTTTTCATTTTAAAGGGAAAAGCTGCATTTTTTTTTTCTGTTTTCCCCTGGGAAACAGAGAACCTGGATCCCTGCTGATGAATCAGATGTGAGAAATCCTGTGCTTGGTCTTGGGCTGTGTATAGATATTTGGGAGATGTTAGATTTGTATTTAAAATAAGTACCTGGTCAGGATCGGGGCGGGAGGAGGGGGTGGGGCAGCAGGGTCTATGGGAGAGAGGTTACTGGGGTCCAGGAGGTTTTGACAGGATCAAAGGGGCTCACAAGGTCTGTGTGATCAGAGAATATTTTTAGCCTCCCAACCTCTCCCAGACAAACAACTGGCACATACAAACCTGCCC